CAGGCCAAATGGGACATTCCAGAAGACCATTAACTTCCCCACTCTTACTAACGCACTGGGCCGCAAAGGGGCGGCCTATGGGCTCTGATTTTTCTTTTTTTCAAGTTTTTAAATGTTTTACAATTAAAGGAACCCCAGGTTAAGGAGTGTGTCTCAAACACCGTGTGCAGAGTGGGCAGAAATGTCATTCATTCCACTTGGCAGAGAACTTGGGGTGGGGTCTGGAGTGGCAAGGGGAACCGTCATCTCCTGAGACCTTCCTTTCCCAGGCAGATCGAGCAGCCCAGAGTTAAGCTGCAAGACTGAAGGGACACAGGGCTCCAGCACTGTGGGATGGGGAAGCGTGCTGGGGAGGGCCGCGGCAGAGTGCTGGCCAGAACCAGGAGTGTGGATGCTGGACCGGGTTCCCACAGCTGGCAGCAACCCCCCTCCCAAGTCACTCCAGAGACAGGCATTTATAAAAACGGAAGATTTATTCAGCGAAGGCCCAAGTCTAAGAAGCTGAGGCGTGGGAGCTGGAGGACCGGTTCCTCTTCTCTTCCCCTCACGTCATCTTCCCAGAGGGCAAAAATGGTCTGGACCCTGAAATCCTAACCCAAATAAAAAACCACAAAACTGAGGTTCCAAAAAAGTTAGAGAATCTGAGTTCCTCATAGAAAAGAGGGAGGAGCCGAGGAAAAGGGGGAGGTGTTCCCGGGGTGGCAGAAACCGCCCCCACCTGCTGGGATACCTCCCTCTTTTATAGCTGCCTCCAATGGGACAGGCCTGGAGTCATAGCATTTAAAAACTCCCACACCCCAGTTTATCAAAACCAAAGAAAAAAAAAAATTTCCCTTCCCCCCAAACCCAAATATATATATATATGTATATATATACTTTTTCTTTAAAAACAAAACAAAAAAATCCAAGGCATTAAAGCGTTAAAGTGAATCGAGAATAAGGGAAGGCGAGGTTCCCTCCTTCCTTCCCTTACTGTGGGGTTACTGGGTACATCCCCAGCAGAGGAACCAGCCCCAAGGGGACGGCAGAGGGGAAGGACCAAAGGGAACAAAGGGGTGGGACCTCAGCCAATCAGCAGCCAGTGGAGTGTGGTCATGGCAACATGAAGCCACACCCTCTGGAATCTTCCAAGTGGAGACAGTCGGGGAGTATGCCTTCTGGTGTACTCTTGGTCAAGTTGAGGCAGGGAAAGCAGGCGCCAGGCGGGAAGTGCAGAGAGGAGGGATGGCTCTAGTGGGTCCTGTGGTCAAGGAGACCCCCGCTTCCTCAGCTCCTGGACAAAGGCTGGAAAGGAAGAGGAAGACCAAGAATTCAGGCCAGTCTGTCCCCATCTTCCAAGGCAGGCCCCTCCCACAGACACAAGGCGCTGGCAAAGGCTGCACTGGAACGCAAGCGGAGGTGAGAGCCTCACCTTCAATTATGTCTTCTTTCATTTTCTGTAGCTCCTTCCGCACCTCTTCCACAAGCTCCTGAAAAGAAACCGTCAAGAGGAGACCCGGACAGGCACAACAGTGACCCCTCTCTTATTCTGACTTTCTCCTAAAGTTCTTGAAAAGCTCCTTATTTGTGCGCTTGTACACGTATGTGCATGCGTACACACCACACAACGCGAGTGTCAAGGTCAGGGAACGGCTTGGGGTAGTTCACTCCTTCTACCATGTGGGTTCGGTGAAGAGAACTTAGGGACAAGGACCTTCACCCGCTGTGCCACCGTGACAGTCCGTTTTATTCCAGGGACAGGGATAGAACCTAGGGCATCTTGAATGACACCTAAGCACACTACTGCTGATTCCAGGCAGGGGCTCTACCACTGAGCCCCGCCCCCAGCCCCTCACTGGGGGATTCCAGGCAGGGGCTCTACCACTGAGCCGCAACCCAGCCCCTCACTGGGGAGATTGCAGGCATGCTTCTGTTGAGCAAGGTTCCCCTTCTTGTCTGAAAAGACAGGAAGCTGGTTCAACAACCCTTCCTTTGACACAGTAGCCAAGGTCACTAAATGATGGTGATGTTGTATAGATTCCAGATCTCTGGTCCCAGCAGGCGAGTACTGGAGAACATCCAGTAAGAAGCTTGCCAAATGTGCGTAGTCTCCTGCCAGCTCTGACTGGAGAGGAATAGCTGGAGCCACTGAGCTGAGGGTTCTGGGTACTCAGCAGGAACAAGGGATAAAGACTGGACCACACCCACCATCTCCCCTCCTCAGACTCGAAGACTGAGGCTTTAAGCCTCCCCTAGAACCATTCTGGAGGTCTGTCTCTCTGGGCGTCATGAGCTGTTTCCCAAAGCTACCTGCTTCACCCTCTCCAAGTCAGAGTCATCGCTGGAACTGTGAGCAGAGGGGTGGGCCTCGGAGGTCGTCACAGCAGAGGAGGACTTCATCCTGGAAGAGTTGGCGTGTGACAGGGATGAGGTTAGAGAGGGGCACTGCCTGCGCCTCTTTCTAGTCCACGGCTTACAGTATGTTCCCCCTGGCACAAGAAAAAAGTTCAGCTCTTTCAATGGCCTACCTTGGCAACGTTGTGCTGTTCTTCTCCCAGGGTCTCCGTACAGGTTCTGGGTGGATGTGGGGAGCAACAAATCAGAAAGGTCAGACACAAGCATTGCCCCCCACAAAAATATATCACCACCCAACCCACCAGGTTTTATAAAATTACAATCCCCCACTATTATTTTCATAGGTTTCCCATGCAGGTGCTTTCAGAGCAAGAACAATGCATCCTGGGATTTGTAGTTTCTAGGGCTTGACAGGGCTGTCACTCACCACTCTGGGCGGGGACTCGGACCTCTGGCTCCTCCTGCTGGCGGTAAATAAGAGAGTCATAAACCACCCTTTCCACGCCAATGTTTCTCTTCCAGGTCCAAAACCAGATGAACCCCGCCACACCTCCTCCCTGCCGTGGGGTACATCCTAAGGAATATAGAGCAGGAAAGGGCCCCCGACTTACACTGGCCGACTCATCTTTGGGGGGCTTCTCCCCAACCTGTGTGGCTTTCCTTCTGCAGAGGGGCAAGCAAGAACAAGCTACAGTCCACACTCC